CCCCTCCTCCTTCCTCCTTTGACTTCTTTATGATTACTGTTCTACCTCTGATTATGTCTCTCCGAAGAAAACCCGCAAAGAGTTATCTATACCTCGCAGTCTTTTTCTTTTTTTATTATTGTTAACCCTATTTTCAATGCCGTTTGCCGCCGCCGAACTTCCCTACGCGAAGGACGCCCTCGTCTCCAAAGGGCTTTCCAAGGAGCAGGTGGAATTCCACTACGAAAAGCACCACAAAGGCTACGCCGCGAAGCTCAACGCGGCCATTTTAACCACCCCCGAGCTCGCCCACCTCTCCTTGGTGGAGGCGGTGAAGACGATGACGGGGCCGATCTTCAACTCCGCCGGGCAGCTCTTCAACCACGACTTCTATTGGCAATCCATGAGCCCCTGCGGCGGGGGTGAGCCCACCGGCGACCTCGCGGACGCCATCAACGCCTCCTTCGGGAGTTTTGAGAACTTCAAGGAGGAGTTCACGGCGGCCGCGGGGGGGCATTTCGGCTCAGGTTGGGCCTGGCTTCTCCTTGAGACCGGGAGCGGAAAGCTGAAGGTTTACCAAACCCACGACGCAGGCTGTCCGATTGTCGATCCCACATTGGTTCCTCTTCTCGCCTGCGATGTTTGGGAGCACGCGTACTACATCGACTACCGCAATGATCGCCCGAAGTATGTAAACGCATGGTGGGGGATGGTGAACTGGGACTTCGCGGCCGCCCAGTTTGACAAGGCGAATGCCTAAGGGTGGAGAGAGCGAAGAGGGAGGTGTAAAAAGCCCTTCCCGCCACACCCACAAGGCCGATAAAAAATAGTGAAATAAAACCTTAAATAACTCACTTTATTGCTACAATGTAATGATTTTACTACTTTTTCCCCCTCCTTATTTCAAGCTTTCTATAAAGAGAGCTATAATTCGTGATCGCATCTTGATAGATACTATGCATTTTTTATTATTTGACAAAGACAAGTGATGAAAAAATACTTACATTTTACTTACCGATATACAAACATATATCGATTGTTTGTAGTGCTTGCTGCTATTACTTCAATGTATGTTTTTGTGATGAGCCAGTGTGCTTATTTTTTTTTCCCCACTTTTATTTAGCAATCGATAGATGCGCCTAAAAAGCACACAACTTTTAAGATTTGAGTTTTACTAATTTATGCGCATTTTTACTCTATTGTTTTTTTTTAAAGAATCGATATCACTTTGATGTTCCATTTTTCGATGGAAAATGTAAGTTTTGTCTATCTAAATAATAGGGAATAGGAATAAGTGAAACACACGAATCATTATGATCAGTCTGTCGTTGTAAGTGATTTAGTATGTTATTACTTAAACAATAAATATTGTGGTGGAAGACGTACCTTCTTTTCGTTTCCCTCTTGAAAACATATGCTATCTAAAGACTCTCGGGTAATTTTTTTTTGAGAAACAAGTCCTATTTTATGGATGGCTCCCTGAATGACTCCTTACTGTCCTTTTCATTGAATTTTCAGTTGGTTGGCTATATCAATCCAACGCATAGTGTATAGTTAAGCGAATAATTATATAAAGCATTCAATATATATATATATATAGCAGAAATAAAAATCCAAGATTTTTACCCCCAAAAGTAACTATGGGAAATGGCATTTTTATAGGCCAACGCCGTACTAGAAGTGCCAGTTTTACCAAAAAGCCAAAGCTTCAAGCATCCTGTCGTTCTTCTCAGCACCAGGAGGATTCCCATCCTTCTGGGCAGTCGATTACCCAGCGATGTGGTGTGATTAGCGTCTGTGGCAATCATTATGTAGAAAGGCGAGACCGATCTTCCCCGCTTTCGGACCTTCAGGCCTCGAATCAGCCGAGCTACGACGAAAACCCACATTGCTACCCTTTGGTGAGTTTGGACACCATTCTAGGCGGCGAAGGCAGCAGCGCGAAGTACATCAAACGGCGGACGATCGGCAAAGGGTCGTTTGGGGAGGCCTACATTGTGGAGCGGAACCCCCTGTACGACCCGATCCACTACCCCCAGGCGGAGTCCCTGATGCGGACGAACATCCCGACCCACCCGACGCGCCCGGGCGGGTTGTACGTGGCGAAAGTGATGGACCTCCGCCTGATCAGCTCGCAGGACCGG